CCCCTCGAGCCACCTCAAGGCCCCAGGATGGCCGTCTGCCCATGGTGAGAGTCCAGCTTGGGGGTTTTCCACGCAATTTTCCACTGCCATTTTCCACGTGGCAGAGGCAGACGCCAGCAGGCTGGGCTCTTCCACCCATCACTCCAGCACCATCACGGCTGCTACCCACAGGCACACTTTTTATTGTGCTGCTGCCCTCCACTCATTAGTTTTTGGAAGATTAAACATTACTGCTGAATTTCCACCTGTTATCAAGGCACACAGATGTTCCAAGTCCAGCACCACCACGCACCCCCTGCCCCAACCCTGCCTCTATGCTTCCAGAGCAACCTAATTGCTTTTAAATGAGGGTTCAAGGTCCACCTTGACTCCTTTCTTTCAAAACTGAGCCTGTTCTGGGTGCGCTAAATATTCTAAATATTCACTTAATATTCTCAAACTTATCTACATGCCTACAAAACCTTCCTCCCCCTCACCCCTGCTGAAAACGGGTACAGTTTAGGTCAAGCAAGTTGCGATGGCTCATGATGCTTCTCCACCCTGAGAGCTCCCAAACCCTCGCAGGACACGGAGGACTGCCGCAGGGGTCTCCTCCCCACGCTCCCAACCTCTCCGTTGAGGTTGGATTTCTTTCTTCTCCTCTAATTCGAAGCTCAGGGGAGTCCCCCACAGACGACGGCAGGGCGAGACCCACGCAGAGGACAGCCTGGCTCCGTTTTCTTGATGAAAATGGGTTGCTATCAGGCTGATCTGAGAGCACCCACAAAAGCTTTTGCGAACTAGCGGCGTTGCGACTCCCGGGGATGTGCACAACGGGATTTCTCCTTGCTCGGTGCAATGCTGAGATGGGTCCCTTATTCCTGGTCCTGCCTGGCTGTGATGAGATGCCCCTCGGCCGTACCGATGAAAATGAACCGGTGCCTGTCGTGTCTTTGTTTGTTTGCCCCACGTTGCTTCCTTCATCTCCCCAGCTCTCGAGAAGATGTGCTCGCGCAGCGAGCCGTGTAGGAGGCCAGCTTGTCCTGCTTTTAATCAGGAAACACGCACTACTTCTAGCAGCTCTAGAGAGCAAAAGATTGCCATAATACCTTTCGCATTATGGTCTCTGTGTCAGCAAGAAAGAAAACACTTTTTTTTTTTCCCCCGCCTGACGACGACTCAATTTCTGACAACGCTCGTCCGGCTTCTTTTTGCTGCGATCCATTAAGCAGTGGGAGGCACAGCTCTGCAAATAACCCAGCTTTCAAGACCACCCGTCGAGGACGTTGTTCAGCAATCCGGCAAAATGGTTTTATTTGTGGATGCAGGGGAGAAGTCGGCGAATTCTCCAAAGCTTCCATGCTCGCTCATGAGAGCATCAGCCTTGATTCCAGCCAGAGGGGCCTGCAAGCAGTGGTGGCCACGATATGCTGAAGAAGAGGGAAATGAGATGGGAATTAGTCAAAAAACAAACAAAAAAAAACAACAAAAAAACCAACAGTAGCAGTTAATTTAGAACCGTTGCTAATTTTAATTAAGTGGTCCCATTATCTTGATGCTTGAGCGACCACTCCAGCTCCCAAAAGCCATTTCCGTACCCTTGAAACGTA